AAGTGTAGTCATTGTCATAAACCTGGACACACTCGTGACGTATGTTATATTTTGCATGGTCCACCACCCAGTTATGATCCTATTATTCTAAAGGAATATAATGAGTTCCTTCGAAATCGCGCAAGTAAACAGACATCTCCACCAGTAGCATATGGTGCTCAACCTAATCAACCATCCAATAATGCTCATATTGCTCAGACAGAATATGATGAGTTCCTTCAGTATCGTGCAAATAAGCAAACGTCTCCACAAGTAGTTTCGGTTGCACAACCTGATGTGTCTATAGCTGGTAATTCTTTTGCTTGTGTGTCGCAATCTAGTACTCTTGGAACATGGGTCATGGACTCTGGGGCTTCTGATCATATCTCTGGTAATAAATCACTATTGTCTGATATTGTTTATTCACAATCTCTTCCAGCTATTAGTTTAGCCAATGGGATCCAAACAAAACCAAAAGGGGTTGGAAAAGCCAAACCCCTATCTTCTGTCACCCTAGACTCTGTTCTTTATGTCCCTGGTTTTCCTTTTAATCTAGCATCTTAGTCGTTTGACAAAAGCCCTACATTAATGCATAACTTTTTTCGATGATTTTTTTCTCATGCAGGACCGCAGTACGGGACAGATGATTGGAACAGGACATGAATCACAAGGCCTTTACTATCTTACCTCTTCAAATTCCTTCACCTCATGCTTCGTTACAGATCCTCCAGCCCTAATTCACAAACGTTTGGGATATCCGAGTCTATCCAAGATAGAGAAGATGGTGCCTAGTTTGTCTAGTTTATCCACATTAGATTGTGAGTCGTGTCAACTTGGGAAACACACTCGTGCTACGTTTTCTCGTAGTACTGAGGGTCGTTCAGAGTCTATTTTTTCATTAGTTCATTCTGATGTTTGGGGTCCTAGTAGAGTCAGTTCCATATTAGGATTTCGTTATTTTGTTAGTTTCATTGATGATTATTCAAAATGTACTTGGGTTTTCTTAATGAAAGATCATTCTGAGTTATTTTCTAATTTTCAAAAAGTTTCTTTGCTGAAATACAAAATCAGTTTGGTGTTTCTATTCGTACTTTTCGTAGTGACAATGCCTTAGAATACTTATCCTCCCAATTTCAGGAGTTTATGACTCACCAAGGCATTATTCACCAGACTATTTGTCCATACACCCCTCAACAAAACGGTGTAGCTGAAAGAAAAAATCGACATCTTATTGAGACCGCTCGTACTCTTCTCTTTGAATCCAATGTTCCGCTGCGTTTTTGGGGAGATGTAGTTCTTACGTCTTGTTATTTGATAAATGAATGCCCTCTTCTTCTATTCAGAATCAGGTTCCACATTCCATACTGTTTCCTCAGTCACATCTCTATCATATCCCTCTTCGTGTCTTTGGGAGCACATGCTTTGTTCATAACTTAGCCCTTGGAAAAGATAAATTAGCTCCTCGTGCCCTCAAATTTGTCTTTCTTGGTTACTCTCGAGTCCAAAAAGGGTATCGTTGTTATTCACATGATCTTCATCGATACCTTATGTCCGCTGATGTTACATTTTTTGAGTCTCAGCCTTACTATACATCTTCT